TAATTATCCAATACTGCCGGCTGACAACGTCCCAGAACGGATGTGAATTTCAAGCGAAAACATTATATAATTCTTTACCAGTAAATGTTAGATGCCTCCCCGCAAAACTATTTAAAGACTGCATAAAGAAATATCTTCTGTCAAAGGCCTTTTACACCTTTGAGGAATTCTGTTCGTCGGTAAAAGCGTTAAGTTTATAACTTCTTATGACCATATGCCTGTGATATAATATAATCGTGTTTGTCTTGTGTTATATAGGGTGACCAGAAATATTAGATATTAAAAGAGTACAACGAACAGGTGTTGCAATAATCGATTGGGTGTGACGTAGGGTTAGTTCTCAGGCTCTTCAAATGGTGATAGAAGAGTAATTACACTCACCGCTACTGAAAATACACCTTCAAAATTACTAAAAATAAAAAAAATGCATATACCACGTACGCATATCGCAAGGCATAAAGTAAACACAAAGTAAATTTACTTTTTTAAGTTAAGACAGCGAAGTTTCTACCATAAAATTACAGAAGCAAGTGCAGTGCAATATGAAAATTCACGTTTCAGGGACGTCATAGCTCACTTAACGGCTAAACAGCTAACTGGTAGCGTAGGGTCACCGAATTCCCCCGTAAAGTGCTGAACGTGCATTCGGTGCGCAAGGACGAGTTACGACTCTTACGAGGCAAATGACTGTGTTATTTTTTATTTAATTTAATTTTAGTAAAGGCGAACCAAAGCGTTGGTTGTTGTTTCCCTTTTGCGAAATAGAGAACATTTTTTCCATTTAATTAAAAAGTAAGAGTACACCGAACAATAGGTCAGAAAAGAGAACATTACTCTTAAAAAGAGTACGTCTGGTCACCTTACTTATGTTATAGTTATGTAAGGAAAAGTTAGGTTTAAATGACAAGTGTAAATGCAGATACTGCGTAATGGCACACATTAAATATTATTATTATTATGGTCGGTGTTTCTTGTGAGAGCTCAGGTCTAGCCTGGTTAACTAATCGCACGGATTAAAATCAAGTAACGATTAGTGTCTGTGTCTGTGTCTGGTGAAGTTATGTAGGGCCCTAAAAAAAAAATCACACACGTACATTAAAATCTAGGGATAGTATGTAAATCATACTTATCAACATACCTATTGATGGGCACAATAGCCAACGCTATCAGGAAAGAGGAAAACAAAAAACCAAAAAAAATCATTATAATAATTCCTGTAATTTTATTAAATGGAGTTTATTGTGTAAGTGTTTCTTTGGCTTTGCGTTTGGGTTGAATACGAGTGGGTTGTGATAACGTAGTGTGTTTGTGGGAAGAAGGAGTTTTGTGTTTTTTAACTGTGCTAGGACGTGTAACTTTATTGGGTGGACCTGTCTTTGTGGTACATGTTGCCTTACTTATATTTATGGTGTTTCTTTGTTCTTGAGGTTGTATTTCTGTTGTTGCTTGGGTTATTGGTGGAGACATTACTGTATTTTATTTATTATTATTATTATTAATAATAGAAATGTTGAAATTGAGATTGAATTGTAGTAGGACCTTACAACAATTGAATTTTTTTGTTACTCGCGACCTCCCGAGTAGGGCTTGGCGACCCCCAGGACAATAAAATAAAATCAAGAAAACAGCAATTTGATGTACCTAAGTAATTATTTATTATTATTATATTACTTTTCTTTGGACTGTATTAGAAAGAAAAACAATTTTCGGAAAACTAAATACCTATGTCAAATGAAATTGTTTATAATCTTCTGTGGTAATTTCAGTATTTCCCTTATCGGAACAATAAATTGGCAGGTGTGGCATACCGGAAATTAACGAGAAATCAATTGTAAGCACCATCTCTGCCTGTGAAAATATAGATAGACTGGTGTCTTACCCGTAGAATAAATACGTCCCAACTCCCAAATACGCCTTCACTGATAATATTGAAAAATAAGATATGATCTAAAGTATTCTTTCATTTCATACCGTACGTAATATGATTCATAATGTAGGTATATTGAGGCTTTCAGAAAAGTAATCGCAATTCATTATCGAGAAATAAATAAACGAAAAGGAATGGAAAATTCTAAACATTTCTAGAATAATCTCGTACTTTCAAAACGCGCGTCTATTAAAAGTTCCAGAATGTTCGAGACCGCTCGGGATAAATCGGCCTCAGCATATATAAGCGTTTCGAGGCGCGCAACTTCATAACAGTTCAAAACTTGAGCGAAGGAACATAGTAACGACACATTTGTGCGCCGTTATTGTGAATATACGTGTGAATAAGAAGTTATTCGTGATATTTTGAAGAAGAAATGGTTAAAGTACCAGCGATTGGAATTGATTTGGGCACGACCTACTCCTGCGTAGGCGTGTGGCAAAATGGAAAGGTGGAAATCATCGCCAACGACCAAGGAAACAGAACAACTCCAAGTTACGTCGCCTTCACCGACACGGAAAGGCTCATCGGCGATGCGGCCAAAAATCAAGTTGCCATGAATCCCCACAACACCATTTTCGACGCTAAAAGACTCATCGGCCGAAAATACGACGATCCAAAAATTCAACAGGATATGAAGCATTGGCCTTTCAAGGTGATAAGCGATGGGGGTAAGCCGAAAGTGGAAGTTAATTTTAAGGGCGAAACTAAAAAATTCGCCCCAGAAGAAGTAAGTTCAATGGTGCTCACGAAAATGAAAGAAACTGCAGAAGCGTATTTAGGCGGTTCCGTCAAAGATGCCGTTATTACAGTACCGGCATATTTCAATGACTCGCAAAGGCAAGCCACTAAAGATGCTGGAGTTATTGCCGGATTAAACGTATTGAGAATTATCAACGAACCCACGGCGGCTGCTCTTGCTTACGGCTTAGACAAAAATCTCAAAGGCGAACGTAACGTTTTAATTTTCGATTTGGGCGGCGGTACATTTGACGTATCCATACTCACCATCGACGAAGGCTCGTTGTTCGAGGTCAGATCTACTGCAGGCGACACACATCTTGGAGGAGAAGACTTTGACAATCGTTTAGTTGACCACTTTGTAGAAGAATTTAAAAGGAAATATAGGAAAGATATACGTAACAACCCCAGAGCTTTACGTCGTCTCCGTACGGCTGCAGAACGGGCGAAAAGGACATTGTCATCGGGCACCGAGGCAAGTCTGGAAATTGACGCCTTGTGTGATGGTGTCGATTTTTACACGAAGATCTCCAGGGCTCGCTTTGAAGAACTGTGCTCCGATTTATTCCGTGGAACCCTACAGCCCGTTGAGAAAGCACTCGCAGATGCTAAAATGGACAAGGGATCAATCCACGATGTGGTACTTGTCGGTGGTTCGACTCGAATTCCCAAGATTCAATCTCTACTTCAAAATTATTTCTGCGGGAAACCACTGAATCTATCGATAAATCCAGATGAAGCTGTGGCTTACGGTGCAGCGGTACAAGCGGCAGTGCTTAGCGGTGATACAAGCGATAAAATACAAGACGTCCTCCTGGTCGATGTCACTCCACTTTCTTTGGGTATCGAAACTGCTGGTGGCGTCATGACCAAAATCGTTGAACGTAATTCACGCATACCCTGCAAACAAACTCAAACATTTTCAACCTATTCCGATAACCAACCTGGAGTAAGTATCCAAGTATTCGAAGGCGAACGAGCGATGACCAAAGACAACAATTTACTGGGCAACTTTGACTTGTCCGGAATTCCACCAGCTCCTCGAGGAGTTCCAAAGATTGAAGTTACCTTCAATATGGACGCAAATGGAATACTAAACGTCTCTGCCAAAGATACCAGCTCTGGAAAATCGCAACAAATTACAATTAAAAACGACAAAGGTCGCCTATCGCAAAGAGACATCGATCAAATGGTGGCGGATGCGGAGAAATACAAAGAAGAAGATGAAGAGCAACGAACCCGAATCTCGGCCCGCAATCAACTGGAGGGTTACGTTTTCAACTTAAAACAAACTCTAAGCGATGTTGGCGACAAGTTATCGGTGGAAGATAAAAATGTAGTCCAGAATGCATGTGATGGATCTCTGAAATGGTTGGACAACAATTTACTTGCAGAAAAGGAGGAGTATGAAAATCAACAGAAACAGCTTACAAATCTGTGCAGTCCAATTATATCCAAATTATACGCAAATGCTGGAACGCAAAGTGGAGCTATGCCTGGAAGCTGTGGGGAACAAGCAGGAAGATTTAATGCGCAAGGCCCAACGATTGAAGAAGTAGATTAGTTATTATTTGAGTAGTAATTAAATTATTTTGTATATATTGACAAAGACTGATTACAATTAATAAATTATTTTCTGTTATCACACACGCGTTTAAATTATTAAGCAGGTATACTTTGAACAAAGAGTAACCATACTCTGCTTTGAATCTACATACACCTTTCAATGGTTTTTTGTAATTGGCAACATGCAGAGGCTGGCTGGCTCACACAAAACTAAGAGACCCCAATGTGTAGGTGCCTATACCTACCTATATTTAGTGAAAATTTTATGATATGCCAGAATATTGAATATAAAGCTTAGTGCGGAGTCGGACACCGAAATCGCCTAAATTCTCCCGACACCCTGTAATTCTCCGGAGATGCCTTGACATTTTTGAAATTCAGTGGACCTCCAATTAAATTCTGCTACTTATCTAGTAGGCGCCTTTACACAATTCTTACTAAGTACTTAAATATTATAGTCCGATAGCTGGTATTGTAGACATTTTTGGGCACTTATAGGTACTAGGGGCACGCTGAAAACTTGTCTAATACTCCAATAATACCCAAACACAGAATTGCAGACCTGGCTGAGGAGTGGCGGAGCTAAATCAACCCTTATACGTTAAAGATACGAATTTTATTTGCAAAATATGTGAGACATTTAGAAAATGTTTACACCTTTAAATTTAATTTAAATCCCTCTCCATTTAACTGACTCACTCTGTAAGCTGTAACGCAAATGAAGGTATAAACGAAACAACATGAACACCGCGCCTGTATAGTAGTCACTTCCATATATTTTAAACATTCAAACTTGTAACGTAACCGACATTTTGGTTTAAAAATTTTGTCGTAATGGAAATTGTTAAGGAGACTAATAACACCGTGACCATACAATCATTATGTGATAAAATAGTTACGTTGCAACTAACTGTAGATTTTGTGTCATTTGGGAAACATAACAGAGCCGAGTATCACAAATTAATTAAGGAGATTAATCACAGAAAACAGCTGATCGCAGTTGATTTGTTAGTAGTAAAAAAGTTACTCACAAAGTATTGTTTATTGTTCGATGAATTGAAAGTATGTAGATACCGTAAGTTCATAAATTCATCTAACTAGGTACATAATATTTTAGAGTTACGAGAGCGTTATCAAAGTTCAAATGAAGAAACTTGATGAAATTGCTGAATCTATACAAAGCCACTCGTTAAATAGCTTGGTCCTAAGTAATTCGCCAAGAGCGGGTACTCCGGATTTAGAAGTTAGTGTTGCATTTAGTGATTTTACGCCTACAATACCCTATCAAAATAAATATAAGGGCAAAATTACACGTAAATACTTAACGTTTGATATTGCACCTTTATCGTTTGAGGAGTTCGCATCTTTACCCAAGTAAGTTCTCTACTGTCATATTGTGCAGGGATACTTCTATAATATAATGCTATAATGCGTCAGTTGAATGAGATTTTGTTTAATGCCCCTTTAAGTAGTATTTTTATCGCTAAGAAATGATCATTGCAGGTATATGGTGGGACGTTTAACACTGGAGGTGGTAAACAATTTTATTCAAGTTGTAAGTGAAGCACTCTTCAATAAATATGAGCTACTATCGAAACCTTCACATGCAATAAAGACTACAGAAATGCAATTGTATAGAGAGTATAAACAACAACAAACTGGTACTTTTAAAGGTTCGTATGCTATTGGAAGGTACTGAACACTGACCCCTTCCTCATTCCTCAAATGAAAACCCTTGAGCTCTTGTTTGGTCTTCATTTCGTCTATGTAACGATAATTATTCTTTTAGGCAAGCAATTTGTTACAGAAGAAGATATAGCCAGGGAATGTAATAGGCCGTCCTTGGATAAGAAAGCGCTTAATTTTTTAACAATACTAAGACATACAAAACGTTTGGTAAGATCATCTTTATCAGGGAAGTCTATTTATGTTGTGTGATAATTAGTTTTTAATTTGTAGATTTTATTGCTAATTTTGTATTTAGAAATGTTTGCTAATTTCAGTAATTGTATTAAAGTGCATTTTATTAGTGATGGTTTTGGTTTCTTTTAATTACAAGAAGTGCAAGTACCACTAAATTGATCTAACACAATTTAGTTACATTATTCAAGTACTTGTGAACAGATCCACTTGTAACCGGCTACCCATTATAAACTGTACACTGATGGCTGATTTTAGATATTGCTGCTGTATTTTGCATATATTTTCTCTTCTGTAGTGTTCCAAGGTGTTTCAGTCTTTCTTTCTAATCGGTTTTACGTGAGTTGTACTGCAATTATGCGGGCAAATAAAGGTAGCAATACTTTAAAAATATAGGGTGTTTTTTGGGAGCTTTTGTTAAGCGTTTCTGGGACAGTGAAATAGATAGGTTTTTGAAAATTTGTACTTGGAAGTTACTCTGAAGGCCGAATCGATGTAAAATATTTTCAAAATGGTCGCACTTCCGGAATACTGGAAGTAGTTAGCAGCTTCGTTATTTTACATGATAACAAATATTTTTTATTGCATTTTGGGATTCTACGTGAAACTTTAGTTATTTTGATATCCACATGTCCATATCTACCATTTGTGGTTTTTAAGTTATTTTGACTTTAAAAAAAATGGCGGATGCAGACAGTACTTTGATAATTGATTACTTGAAAACGGTTGAAGTTTTGATAACCCATTTTTATCAGTGCATAGAGAATGAATAGGGCTTTCTTTTAGTGTACTTAAAAAAAATTTTAAGTTGCGTACAACCGTACCTATGGAGGTCCAAATGTAAGAAACTTCAAAGACTAAAAACTCAGTTTTTTTCAATTCTTACTATTGCATGAGATATAAAATCGAAATTGGCATATTTTGATATTACATGTCCTATCTTTAACCGTTTCTGAGTTATTGATATACCATTTTTTCCAGATTTTCTTTTTAGTATAGTCTGCCAAGATTTTATGACAATCGAATTTTAAACAAATCAAGGATATCATTGATTCCAAACTAAATAATTAATTAATAAAAAAGAAAACAAAGTGATCAGCTATTTGAAAAACAAAAACTTATATGAAAATATAACACATGCTCAAAATGAGAGCCTTCAAGGTGTTGCAACCACAATTCAATTCTTTCGTGTATCTTTCTTTTGTGTAAGTAGGTATATATATACATGCATTCTTTCATAGGCCACATACTTATTTATATGCGAACCCACTAATTTTTATACACTATTCGCCACTCCTCAGCCAGGTCTAGCAGTTTTCAGCGTGCCCCAAATACCTACCCAAAAATGTCTTACCAGCTCTTGTACTATAATATTTTGGTACTTAAGAATTGTGTAAGGGCGCCTACTAGATAAGTAGCAGAATTTAATTGGAGGTCTACAGGGTGTCGGGAGAATTCAGACGATTTCTGTGTCCGACTAAGCACTAAGCTTTATATCCAATATTCTGGCATATCATAAAATTTCACTAAATAGGCACCTACACATTGGGGCTTCTTAGTTTTATGGAAGTCAGCCAGCCCATGCATGTTGCCAATTACAAAATATATTGAAAGGTTTATGTAGATTCAAAATATACCTGCTGTTTGGTATACATAAAGCTAACTTCAGTCATGACTAACCTACAGACATAAACATGCTCTTTGTTAATTGTTAATAAATTATAATTAGTAATTGCAGTGGTCCCTCGTCTCTTTTGTAATATACCCAGTACGAAACACCTGCTTAATAATTCAAACGCGTGTGTGATAACAGAAAATAATTTATTAATCTAGGTAATCAGTCTTGTCAATATATATACAAAATACCTAAATTAATTACTGCTCAAATAATAACTAATCTACTTCTTCAATCGTTGGACCTTGCGCATTAAATCTTCCTGCTTGTTCCCCACAGCTTCCAGGCATAGCTCCACTTTGCGTTCCAGCATTTGCGTATAATTTGGACATAATTGGACTGCATAGATGTGTAAGCTGTTTCTGTTGATCTTCATACTCCTCCTTTTCTGCAAGTAAATTGTTGTCCAACCATTTCAGGCATCCATCGCATGCATTCTGGACTACATTTTTATCTTCCGCCGATAACTTGTCGCCAACATCGCCAAGAGTTTGTTTTAAGTTGAAAACGTAACCCTCCAGTTGATTGCTGGCCGAGATTCGGGTTCGTTGCTTTTCATCTTCTTCTTTGTATTTCTCAGCATCCGCCACCATTTGGTCGATGTCTCTTTGCGATAGCCGACCTTTGTCGTTTTTAATTGTAATTTGTTGCGATTTTCCAGAGCTGGTATCTTTGGCAGAGACGTTTAGTATTCCATTTGCGTCCATATTGAAGGTAACTTCAATCTTTGGAACTCCTCGAGGAGCTGGTGGAATTCCGGACAAGTCAAAGTTGCCCAGTAAATTGTTGTCTTTGGTCATCGCTCGTTCGCCTTCGAATACTTGGATACTTACTCCAGGTTGGTTATCGGAATAGGTTGAAAATGTTTGAGTTTGTTTGCAGGGTATGCGTGAATTACGTTCAACGATTTTGGTCATGACGCCACCAGCAGTTTCGATACCCAAAGAAAGTGGAGTGACATCGACCAGGAGGACGTCTTGTATTTTATCGCTTGTATCACCGCTAAGCACTGCCGCTTGTACCGCTGCACCGTAAGCCACAGCTTCATCTGGATTTATCGATAGATTCAGTGGTTTCCCGCAGAAATAATTTTGAAGTAGAGATTGAATCTTGGGAATTCGAGTCGAACCACCGACAAGTACCACATCGTGGATTGATCCCTTGTCCATTTTAGCATCTGTGAGTGCTTTCTCAACGGGCTGTAGGGTTCCACGGAATAAATCGGAGCACAGTTCTTCAAAGCGAGCCCTGGAGATCTTCGTGTAAAAATCAACACCATCACACAAGGCGTCAATTTCCAGACTTGCCTCGGTGCCCGATGACAATGTCCTTTTCGCCCTTTCTGCAGCCGTACGGAGACGACGTAAAGCTCTGGGGTTGTTACGTATGTCTTTCCTATACTTCCTTTTAAATTCTTCTACGAAGTGATCGACCAGACGATTATCAAAGTCTTCACCTCCAAGATGAGTGTCGCCAGCAGTCGACTTGACTTCGAACAGCGAACCTTCGTCGATGGTGAGTATGGATACGTCAAATGTACCGCCACCCAAATCGAAAATTAAAACGTTACGTTCGCCTTTGAGATTTTTGTCCAAGCCGTAAGCAAGAGCAGCCGCCGTGGGTTCGTTGATAATTCTCAATACGTTTAATCCGGCAATAGCTCCAGCATCTTTAGTGGCTTGCCTCTGCGAGTCATTGAAATATGCCGGTACTGTAATAACGGCATCTTTGACGGAACCGCCTAAATAGGCTTCTGCAGTTTCTTTCATTTTCGTGAGCACCATCGAACTGACCTCTTCTGGAGCGAATTTTTTCGTTTCGCCCTTAAAATGAATTTCCACTTTCGGTTTTCCCCCATCGCTTATCACCTTGAAAGGCCAATGCTTCATATCCTGTTGTATTTTTGGATCGTCGTATTTTCGGCCGATGAGTCTTTTCGCGTCGAAAATGGTGTTGTGAGGGTTCATGGCAACTTGATTTTTGGCCGCATCGCCGATGAGCCTTTCCGTGTCGGTAAAGGCGACGTAACTTGGAGTTGTTCTGTTTCCTTGGTCGTTGGCGATGATTCCCACCTTTCCATTTTGCCACACGCCTACGCAGGAGTAGGTCGTGCCCAAATCAATTCCAATCGCTGGTACTTTAACCATTTCTTCTTCAAAATATCACGAATAACTTCTTATTCACACGTATATTCACAATAAACACGCACAAATGTGTCGTTACTAATATGTTCGTTCACTCACGTTTGGAACTGTTATGAAGTTGCGCGCCTCGAAACGCTTATATATGCTGAGGCCGATTTATCCCGAGCGGTCTCGAACATTCTGGAACTTTTAATAGACGCGCGCTTTGAAAGTACGAGATTATTCTAGAAATGTTTAGAATTTTCCATTCCTTTTCGTTTATATTTCTCGCGCTTTTCTGAAAGTATCGAGATTATTCTAGAAATGTTTAGAATTTTCCATTCCTTTTCGTTTATTTATTTCTCGATACTGAATTGCGATTGCTTATCTGAAAGCCTCAATATACCTACATTATGAATCATATTACTGTATGAAATGAAAGAATATTTTGGATCATTTCTTATTTTTCAATATGAGTGAAGGCGTATTTGGGGGTTGGGAAGTATTTATTCTACGATATCTATTGTGCGTAAAATTGCAGTATTGATTTCTCGTTAATTTTTGATATGTCAAATTGTCAACTTATTATTCTAATAAGAGAAATACTAATATTACCACGGAATATTATAAACAATTTCATTTGACATACCTATTTAGTTTTCCGAAAATTGTTTTTCTTTCTAATACAAGTCCAAAGAAAAATATATACTGCATCAAATGCTATAAGTCAGTTTAATTTCTTACATCAAAATGCTGTTTTTTTGATTTAATTTTATTATTGTCCTGTGGGGGGTCGCCAAGCCCTACTCGGGGGGTCGCGAGTAAAAGAAAAATTCAATTGTTGGAAGGTCCTATACTACAATGAAAAACTACAATTTAGTGCGAAGGTTGTTTTATTGCAACGTGGTTCTTTTTTTGACACCCAAATCACTTTTTATGAAGCCTTTATTTCTTTTCTTAGTTTGTATGTTTAACATTGAAGACTACGCTAGTTTTTCATAGGTAGATATAGAAAATGGGGAATGGAACTAATAATTATGCCCACTCTGGATACTCCTGTTTTCTCTTCATCAAGAAGACGTCAATATTTTGCGAGAGAAACTCCATGTTAAGCATACCGTCAGCAGCTAAATCTATGAGATTTCTTTCGTGTGCTCGTAGTCAGGTGAGCCAATTGTACTGACATATCCAAGAAAGGGTTTAGTGCTCATCTATGTCTATTGTTACCTTCGAACTGGACAGTCGTGGAAAATAACTTATGATATAGCTCTGAATCGTGCAAGGAATGTGCGAGAGCTTCCTACCAACGATTGATCTACCTATTGCAGTTTGTTGAACAATCTTCTGAACACAAGGAAAATACTTTATATGTATATTTTTTCAAAGAAGTTGACTTTAAATTCAGTTTTCCAATGAATCCTTTAATTTCATCCTTAGCTGTTAGAATGCGTTCATGGTAAGAACGTAAGCATCGTGTTGCTGTACGTGCCGACAGCAACTTAGGATTTTTGGAATCCTACCTACTTAATTTACGATCGATATAGGTCACAAAGTAATGAAAATTAAATTCGTAAAATAGTCTTGCAATTGGCATAATTTTATTATAGCACCAGAGTTTTTCAACTTGCAAAGGGGCGGCGTATTCAAGAAGGTTGAAAAACACTGTACTAGACTAACAAATACAAAAATGAAATTTTAGCCTATACAAAAACTATTAAATTGAACCAAACGGAATTAGAATAGTATATTGAAAGACAAGTGTTACAATGCGACCTATTGTAATACGACTATCTTGTGGCACGAGTGGCGACGCGAAGCGTAGCCACGAGTGTCCGCAAGATAGGAGTATTACAATAAAGCATTGTAACACGCGTTTTTCATACTATTTTTTTCTATTTCGGTGCTTTAATTTAATAAAAAAAATCATTATCAGAAACTATAGGGAACATTAGAACTAACATGTTTTATGTTGGGAACACTTTTTATGCCGTTAAGTTTTAGGCTGGCAGCGTAGTAAGACTGACATTTTGAAGTTCAAACATGGAAGTACCCAACGAAGTACCTACTTGTACTAACTAGTAACTGCCAACTTAAGAGATGAGTTACCAAAAAAAACGACTATAATGAATGTCTTTGTACAACTGTTTTCGGCCGAAAACAGTTGTACAAAATCATCATTGTGACACCGAAATAGAAAAAAATTTTTGTGTGTCTCTTGCTAGGTTTTCCTCACTTGTGGATATTAAAACCGATAAAACAAGCATTACAGATTCATGAGCTTTAGAAAACTGAGAGGCATAAATAGCTATGCCAAATGTAATTTTTAATATTTTTCTGTAGTAATTCCAGTGTTTCCCTTATCGAAATAATAAGTTGGCATAGCGAAAAATGAACGAGAAATCAATAATACAATTTTACGCACAATAGGTACGACCATTGTATAAAATGGTAGGACCTAGAACACGTTTTCGTTACCCTTCAGTAGGTAATTGAAAAATAAGAAATGATCTAACAATTTTCTTTCATTTCATACGATGTTTCATAATGTTAATTGAGACTTTCAGAAAAGTAATCGCAATTCATTATCGAGAAATATAAACGAAAAGGAATGGAAAATTCTAAACATTTCTAGAATAATCTCGTACTTTCAAAGCGCGCGTCTATTAAAAGTTCCAGAATGTTCGAGACCGCTCGGGATAAATCGGCCTCAGCATATATAAGCGTTTCGAGGCGCGCAACTTCATAACAGTTCAAAACTTGAGCGAAGGAACATATTAGTAACGACACATTTGTGCGCCGTTATTGTGAATATACGTGTGAATAAGAAGTTATTCGTGATATTTTGAAGAAGAAATGGTTAAAGTACCAGCGATTGGAATTGATTTGGGCACGACCTACTCCTGCGTAGGCGTGTGGCAAAATGGAAAGGTGGGAATCATCGCCAACGACCAAGGAAACAGAACAACTCCAAGTTACGTCGCCTTTACCGACACGGAAAGGCTCATCGGCGATGCGGCCAAAAATCAAGTTGCCATGAACCCTCACAACACCATTTTCGACGCGAAAAGACTCATCGGCCGAAAATACGACGATCCAAAAATACAACAGGATATGAAGCATTGGCCTTTCAAGGTGATAAGCGATGGGGGAAAACCGAAAGTGGAAATTCATTTTAAGGGCGAAACGAAAAAATTCGCTCCAGAAGAGGTCAGTTCGATGGTGCTCACGAAAATGAAAGAAACTGCAGAAGCCTATTTAGGCGGTTCCGTCAAAGATGCCGTTATTACAGTACCGGCATATTTCAATGACTCGCAGAGGCAAGCCACTAAAGATGCTGGAGCTATTGCCGGATTAAACGTATTGAGAATTATCAACGAACCCACGGCGGCTGCTCTTGCTTACGGCTTGGACAAAAATCTCAAAGGCGAACGTAACGTTTTAATTTTCGATTTGGGTGGCGGTACATTTGACGTATCCATACTCACCATCGACGAAGGTTCGCTGTTCGAAGTCAAGTCGACTGCTGGCGACACTCATCTTGGAGGTGAAGACTTTGATAATCGTCTGGTCGATCACTTCGTAGAAGAATTTAAAAGGAAGTATAGGAAAGACATACGTAACAACCCCAGAGCTTTACGTCGTCTCCGTACGGCTGCAGAAAGGGCGAAAAGGACATTGTCATCGGGCACCGAGGCAAGTCTGGAAATTGACGCCTTTTTCTGATGGTTTTGTTGATTTTTACACGAAGATCTCCAGGGGCTCGCTGTTTTGAAGAACTGTGCTCTTGAATTTATTCCGTGGAAACCCTACAAACACCGTTGAGAAGCACTCGCAGATGCAAAAATGGACAAGGATCCAATCCACGATGTGAGGTACTTGTCCGGTGGTTTCGACTCCGAATTCCAAAGATTCAATCTTTACTTCAAAATTATTTCTGCGGGGAAAGGAAACCACATGAATCTATCGGATAAATCCAGTATGAAGTGTTGGCTTTATGGTGCAGCGGTGCAAGCGGAGTACTTAGCGGTGATACAAGTGATAAAATACAGACGTTCCTTCTAGTCGGACGTCACTCCACTCTCCTTGGGTATCGAAACTTTGCTGGTGGGCGTCGTCCATGACCAAAAATCATGCGAACGTAATTCACGTATACCCTGCAAACAAACTCCAAACATCTCCAACCTATTCCATAACCAACCTGGAGTAAGGTATCCAAGTATTCGAAGTGCGAACCGAGCGATGACCAAAGACAACAATTAACTGGGCAACTTTGAACTTTCCGGAATCCACCAGCTCCTCGAGGAGTTCCAAAGATAAGAAGTTACCTTCAATATGGGACGCAAATGGAATACTAAACGTCTCTGCCAAGGATACCAGCTCTGGAAAATCGCAACAGATTACAATTTAAAAACGACAAAGGTCGGGCTATCGCAAAGAGACATCGACCAAATGGGGCGGATGCTGAGAGAAGTACAAAGAAAGGATGACAAACAAACGCACCCGAATTGCCGCCCGCAACCAATTGGTAAAAGGGTACCATTTTCAATTTAAAACAAAACTCTAGGAGATGTCGGCGACCGGTTGCAGTACGAGCGACCAAAACGTAGTGCAGAATGCTTGCGATGGATGCTTGAAATGGTTGGACAACAATCTTTCTTGCAGAGAAGGAAGAGTACGAAGATCGACAAAAACAACTTACTAGTGTGTTGTAGTCCAATTTATGTCTAAGTTGCAATACCAAGTGCAGGACAACCAAGTGCGGAGCAAGACCAGGAAACTGTGGTCAACAAACAGGAAATTTTAACACACATGGAACCAACAGTTGAAGAAGTAGATTAGTTTTGTGGTTAACAAGAGATAGTTTTAACTGTAATGCTTTTTGTTACAAGACTGATAGGTATAGTTTAATAAATTATTTTCTTTTACAATGATATTTTTATTGTTTAGTTGGGCGAGCAGTAGAAAGAATTCAAGCAAAATATTTGGAATCCTCT